TAAAGGCTAAAAAGAAGTAAAAACTTTTAGAAAACTCAAAGGTGCAGCAGAGGTATTGGTCCTTCAGTAAAAATTCTACTCTTCTAGACTCCAGTCTACTGGGTTGTGAGGCGGTGTAAAACATGCATCAGGCACCACTGGTGGTACCCCTCCCTGGATGGTGGTACCCCTCTCTGGATGGTGGTACCCCTCTCTGGATGGTGGTACCCCTCTCTGGATGGTGGTACCCCTCCCTGGATGGTGGTACCCCTCTCTGGATGGTGGTACCCCTCCCTGGATGGTGGTACCCCTCTCTGGTTGGTGGTACCCCTCTCTGGATCGTGGTACCCCTCTCTGGATGGTGGTACCCCTCTCTGGATGGTGGTACCCCTCTCTGGATGGTGGTACCCCTCTCTGGATCGTGATACCCCTCTCTGGATGGTGTTACCCCTCCCTGGATGGTGGTACCCCTCCCTGGAAGGTGGTACCCCTCTCTGGATGGTGGTACCCCTCTCTGGATGGTGGTACCCCTCTCTGGATGGTGGTACCCCTCTCTGGATGGTGGTACCCCTCTCTGGATGGTGGTACCCCTCTGGATGGTGGTACCCCTCTCTGGATGGTGGTACCCCTCTCTGGATGGTGGTACCCCTCTCTGGATGGTGGTACCCCTCTCTGGATGGTGGTACCCCTCTCTGGATGGTGGTACCCCTCTCTGGATCGTGATACCCCTCTCTGGATGGTGGTACCCCTCTCTGGATGGTGGTACCCCTCTCTGGATGGTGGTACCCCTCTCTGGATCGTGATACCCCTCTCTGGATGGTGTTACCCCTCCCTGGATGGTGGTACCCCTCCCTGGAAGGTGGTACCCCTCTCTGGATGGTGGTACCCCTCTCTGGATGGTGGTACCCCTCTCTGGATGGTGGTACCCCTCTCTGGATGGTGGTACCCCTCTCTGGATGGTGGTACCCCTCTCTGGATGGCAGTACCCCTCCCTGGATGGTGGTACCCCTCTCTGGATGGTGGTACCTCCCCCTGCATGGTGGTACCCCTCCCTAGATTGTGGTACCCCTCCCTGGATGGTGGTACCCGTCCCTGGATGGTGGTACCCATCCCTGGATAGTGGTACCCATCCCTGGATGGTGGTACCCCACCCTGGATGGTGGTACCCCTCTCTGGATGGTGGTACCTCCCCCTGGATGGTGGTACCCCTCCCTAGATTGTGGTACCCCTCCCTGGATGGTGGTACCCGTCCATGGATGGTGGTACCCATCCCTGGATAGTGGTACCCATCCCTGGATGGTGGTACCCCTCCCTGGGTAGTGGTACCCCTCCCTGGATGGTGGTACCCCTCCCTGGATGGTGGTACCCCTCTGGATAGTGGTACCCCTCTCTGGATGGTGGTACCCCTCTCTGGATGGTGGTACCCCTCTCTGGATGGTGGTACCCCTCCCTGGATGGTGGTACCCCTCTCTGGATGGTGGTACCCCTCCCTAGATGGTGGTACCCCTCCCTAGATGGTGGTACCCCTCCCTAGATGGTGGTACCCCTCCCTGGATGGTGGTACCCCTCTCTGGATGGTTGTACCCCTCTGGATGGTTGTACCCCTCTCTGGATGGTGGTACCCCTCTCTGGATGGTGGTACCCCTCCCTGGATGGTGGTACCCCTCCCTGGATGGTGGTACCCCTCCCTGGATGGTGGTACTCCTCCCTGGATGGTGGTACCCCTCCCTGGATGGTGGTACCCCTCCCTTGATTGTGGTACCCCTCCCTGGATGGTGGTACCCCTCCCTGGATGGTGGTACTCCTCCCTGAATTGTGGTAACCCTCCCTTGATTGTGGTACCCCTCCCTTGATTGTGGTACCCCTCCCTGGATGGTGGTACCCCTCCCTGGATGGTGGTACCCCTCTCTGGATGGTGGTACCCCTCTCTGGATGGTGGTACCCTTCTCTGGATGGTGGTACCCCTCTTGATGGTGGTACCCCTCCCTGGATGGTGGTACCCCTCCCTGGATTGTGGTATCCTTCCCTGGATTGTGGTACCCCTCCTTGGATCGAGGTACCCCTCCCTGCATGGTGGTACCCCTCCCTGGATGGTGGTACCCCTCCCTGGATGGTGCTACCCCTCCCTGGATGGTGGTACCCCTCCCTGGATGATTGTATCCCTCCCTGGATGGTGGTACCCCTCCCTGGATGGTGGTACCCCTCCCTGGATGGTGGTACCCCTCCCTGGATGGTGGTACCCCTCCCTGGATGGTGGTACCCCTCCCTGGATGGTGGTACCCCTCCCTTGATGGTAGTACTCCTCCCTTGATGGTGGTACCCCTCCTTGGATTGTGGTACCCCTCCCTGGATGGTTGTACTTTCCCTGGATGGTGGTACCCCTCTCTGGATGGTGGTACTCCTCCCTGGATTGTGGTACCCCTCCCTGGATGGTGGTACCCCTCTCTGGTTGGTGGTACCCCTCTCTGGATGGTGGTATCCCTCCCTGAATGGTGGTACCCCTCCCTGGATTGTGGTACCCACCCTGGATTGTGGTACCCCTCCCTGGATGGTGGTAAACCTCTCTGGATGGTGGTACCCCTACCTGTATGGTGGTACCCCTCCCTGGATGGTTGTATTCCCTGGATGATGGTACCCCTCTCCAGATGCGTGGTACCCCTCTCCGGATGGTGGTACCCCTCCCTGGATGGTGGTACCCCTCTCTGGATGGTGGTACCCCTCTCTGGATGGTGGTACCCCTCTCTGGATTGTGGTACCCCTCCCTGGATTGTGGTACCCCTACCTGGATGGTGGTACCCCTCCCTGGATGGTTGTATTCCCTGGATGATGGTACCCCTCTCCGGATGGTGGTACCCCTCCCGGATGGTGGTACCCCTCCCTGGATGGTGGTACCCCTCTCTGGATTGTGGTACCCCTCCCTGGGTTGTGGTACCCCTCCCTGGATGGTGGTACCCCTCCTTGGATTGTGGTACACCTCCCTGGATGGTGGTACCCCTCTCTGGATGGTGGTACTCCTCCCTGGATTGTGGTACCCTTCCCTGGATTGTGGTACCCCTCCCTGGATGGTGGTACCCCTGCCTGGATGGTGGTACCCCTCCCTGGATGGTAGTACCCCTCCCTGGATGATGGTACCCCTCCCTTGGTGATAACCCTCCCTGGATTGTGGTACCCCTCCCTGGACGGTGGTATTTTCCCTGGACGGTGGTATTTTCCCTGGATGGTGGTACTTTCCCTGAATGGTGGTACCCCTCCCTGGATGGTGGTACCCCTCACTGGATGGTGGTACCCCTCCCTGGATTGTGGTATGCCTCTCTGGATTGTGGTACCCCTCCCTGGATGGTGGTACCCCTCCCTGGATGGTGGTACCCCTCTGGATGGTGGTACCCCTCTCTGGATGGTGGTACCCTTCTCTGGATGGTGGTACCCCTCTTGATTGTGGTACCCCTCCCAGGATAGTGGTACCCCTCCCTGGATTGTGGTATCCTTCCCTGGATTGTGGTACCCCTCCCTGCATGGTGGTACCCCTCCCTGGATGGTGGTACCCCTCCCTGGATGGTGCTACACCTCCCTGGATGGTGGTACCCCTCCCTGGATGATTGTATCTCTCCCTGGATGGTGGTACCCCTCCCTGGATGGTGGTACCCCTCCCTGGATGGTGGTACCCCTCCCTGGATGGTGGTACCCCTCCCTGGATGGTGGTA